TACTAAAAATTGTTTTGAATGTGAACACAATTTTCTTCCTTATTTGAAAACTATTACACATTAGAACTTTATCATCGCTTTGAAGGCTATCCTGACGTGTGTCTCACCGAAAAATGGTGTACTTCTACTATCACAATCTCAATCATAGCGTATTTAGGATTATTTCAAACGCCAAGTTGTCTGCATGAATGAAATAAATAGGTCAGTGTCCACACGTGACCAGCTGTCTGTATTTGAAAAAGAAAGATTGATGTATATTTCAGGTAATCGATAAATCGCCGTTCACAGTAACACGGTCCCCAAACAGTCAGTGCTTCACAATAAACAGGTGTGCTGGCGATTGTACCAATCATATCGCCATTGTTTCTTCAGATTTCACGACAGACAAGGAAAAGCTACATTGGAACACGTTACGTATACCTAAGTATCGTTGGAATGTGTAGGGCTACGTTAAAGGCTGCCGATCCCGTCCAGTATATAACATATGTTTACGTTTTTTTCAGTTACTAAAATTATTCCATCTAAATTTATTTTCTATCTCATTCAGAATTTGAATTAGATCAAATCCACGCGCACTCTTAAATTTGTTTACACCGTCACAAAAAACACGTTTCATTGATAAAGGCGAGAATTGTCTAACACGGACCATTGACAGTCGACGAGCATGCAGCCTTAAGGCATCGTTTCTTTCCCAGACGATTCACGGCAATCTTCTAATGCGTCGATACAACGAACTTTGGGCCCGATGTGATGTCGCGGTTTAATACGCAGTAATATAAGAAATGAAGATATGAAGACTTGTCAATAGTGTCATATTGTAGAATATATGTATTCCATAAATATGGAATATAACGAATATACATCGATACAATGTGCTACGAACGACTATACGCGGAAACCCTGAATCCAACAAGCAGTTGAGATAAGGCATATCTATGCGTTTGAAATTAAAACCGAAATGAGATTCGTTACAATCCAAACATTAACATTCCGATTAATCTAACACCCAAAGTCAAACACGCCCTTTGATTTTTTCTCTCTCTGAATGTTCCGGATAATTACTTTTGGTAAAAATAACCATTAAACTATGCCATTAGTGTAAACCTTTAGTTGCTAGTATGACGTCATGGCGATTGAACTTTTACGAATCCTAAAGAATTCCATTCACCGTTTACAAGTGGTGTGCTGTGATGACGTATGCACTTTATGGGTATTTTATCGCCAGTCTCGTTTGCAGCATATCTTCCATACCTGACACCAAACATCTGACATTCTTATCTTCAAGCAAATTAAACTGATGTGTACTTTAACAGCGAATGTTAGATTATCGCAATTTTTGTTATTTAAAACGTAAATAATGGAGCACGCGAAAACTTGTAACTTATACATGGCGTGGCAACCTTGTGTGATTATAGTGTTATTGTGAAACCTGCTTTTAAAGTCCGCCAATTTCACAATGACCGGAAAAGCCTTGATATGAGTTGAATAATCATTGCTAATCCCTTTGTGTCATGATATTCAAGAATGTTTAAAATAAATGGATGATGTTGTACTTATTACCGTGTAAGTGATCCGGAGGGGAATTATATAGGATAGTATCGAATTTCTGGCCCCAGTCCTTATAAACCCTGTGGATCCAACTTTCTTCAGGCCATACGAGAGAAATGATGAACGCCAACCTCCATACAAAACATATCAATTAATTATGTTGCACGTAAGTGAGAATAGACAGAAGAGAAAATACAAGGAATATTTATAACACTACTACATGTCAATTTTCTTGTTCCTGTGTTATAAACATTACACCGACATCTTTACTGTAACATTGATATAAAACATTGAAGTGGCATCTTATTCATACAGAGAATATAAAAACGAAATGTCTTTCAACGGAGGGGACTTATTTTGTGTCTCCTCCTTTGAAACGACTTCATATTAGCACCTACCGTATATTAGTATCAGTAGAAAATTATTACGTTGAATACTACAACATGTACAGGGATAAGTACACAGTCTAAGATATGAGCATATACATTCAGATAAATAAATATATTTATATATCATTAAATTTTCAGGAATGTTGCGGCATCGTCGTCGGATTTTCGATGAAACTCGGTTTCGAGTTTCGAGTAATATTGCTTATTATCACTGGCGACGTCAATCAAATCCGAAGTCTGTGACGATTCATGAGATTACTGTCTCTCAAGCACTAGATAAAAACATTAAAACACCCAATATGTATCTGCCCGATTTTTTACGAGCCATCTTGATATGTCCCCTCCGGACCACACAGTAGTTTTTATTTAGTCTATTAGAAGTTCAAGATATTAACATTGTTACTCTACATTGAATACCAACCCGTTATGATTTGGTTCGGAATCAAATGTGCTTCTAACATTCCTTTGACAATGACGACGAAACAGTTACAGTGTACACATTCAACACAGATTTGAGTGGCGCTTAATTCAACCTGGTATCTAGATTATTCAACTCTGAAACAAATGTACGGAATGTGGTGAAGATTGAATTTGAATTTTAAATACGTTATTTTTAAAAAGTTTAATTATTTGTTCCTGCACTTCGATCCTACGGACAAACCAAACGTTGGGAAGTTCAAGCATCAAACTTTGCTCAGTACAGAATTCAGCGTTTCTTAGAGACCATCCTGTGCTATGATCCAAGATTAGCCCGTAACATTGTCAACTATAAACCATTACTACCTTTGTAATACAGCGTTACAAACTTGAGTGGAATGAGATTCCTACACCGTAGATTATGACAATGGTCAGTTGTAGGTCTTGGTTCGGAGAATAGGGGAAATAATCCATAATACAGAACGTCGAAGAGAATTGATAGTTCGTTAAACCCAAAGAGGGTGTGGTGGGGTGTGGTGGGGTAGGGTGGGGTGGAGTGGGGTTGGGTGGAGTGGGCTGGGGTGTGGTGGGGTTTAGTGGGGTGGGGTGGGGTGGGGCGTCACTCATTCTGTAGCTACGTTTTTAAATCCATTTATTATCAACTGGTGGTATTAATCAAACAAAAGGGAAACGCAATAAAAAATGATGCTACGCTGTCTGACCATCCTACAGTCAGTGATAGTGGTTAAAGACTGAACAACTCTACACAGGTAAACGAGAAAATGATAACTGCACAACGTGGGATGTTTGGACTTTGTGTAATGAGCATAAAATTGTGACAACATTGACCCCTTTACGGACATACTACCAAGCTAGTAAGACAAGACTGACACCGTATCGGACAGACAGCCAATGCTGGCAGAGAAGACCGACGCCGTATCGGACATACAACAAAGGTAGAGAGACAATATCGAAACTGTAACGAACATACAGCCCAGACAGAGTGGCAAGACTGACACAGATACAACCCTGACAAAGTGGCAAGACTGACACAGAAACAAGACCGACACCGTAACGTACATACAGCCCAGACAGAGTGACAAGACTGACACAGAAACAAGACCGACACCGTAACGAACACACAGCCCAGACAGAGTGGCAAGACTGACACAGAAACAGGACCGACACCGTAACGAACATACAGCCCGGACAGAGTGGCAAGATTGACACAGAAACAAGACCGACACCGTAACGAACATACAGCTCAGACAGAGAGGCAAGACTGACACAGAAACAGGACCGACACCGTAACGAACATACAGCCCAGACAGAGAGGCAAGACTGACACAGAAACAAGACAGACGCCGTAACGTACTTACAGCCCAGACAGAGTGGCAAGACTGACACAGAAACAGGACCGACGCCGTAACGAACACACAGCCCAGACAGAGAGGCAAGATTAACACAGAAACAGGACCGACACCGTAACGAACATACAGCCCAGACAGAGTGGCAAGATTGACACAGAAACAAGACCGACACCGTAACGAACATACAGCCTAGACATAGAGGCAAGACTGACACAGAAACAGGACCGACGCCGTAACGTGCATACTAGCAAGGTAAAGAGACAATACCGACACACAACATCAGAGACAAGGCCGACTCCGTACCAACAAACAACCAGAATAATTACATGTCGGACACAGTAAAAACGCAGGACATGAAGTTTGCATATGAGCGTTACGTATGCCTAGACATTTTTCCCGTTTTCTTTTATCCCATTTATAAATAAAAACGTTTATTTAAATACATAAATGATAACTTTTCAATGCAAATATAATGCTAGATATTCCAGGCATATCTCGTGTGAAAATCGGCCAAACCCAACTCCAACACTAAAGAATTCATTCTTATATAGTCGTGAATGAAAGTTCCGAAATGTACCTAGTCTATTAGATGTACGCAAATCTACACGATCAAAAGGCTAGTGAATTCTCGAGGAAATAATTCAGACACGTAAATATGTTTCAGGCTACGCCACGTGATTTTTTTAATTTGAGCCTTATATACCTGTTTGATCACCTGTGAAGAAGGCGATATTAAAATCTAACAAACTTATTTGGTTTGTGAAGGTGAACATACGGTTACTTGATTTTTTTTTCTCATTGACAGCTTGTCCTTTCTCAAGTGATTCACACTCGAATAGCTGTATATATAGTAACAGCCACAGTTCCACGAGTTCAGAGAAGGTCTTTATGAATGAAAAATATCTAGGACGTGCCGCCAAAATCGACACGCCCCCTTCATTTAAAATTCATTCATAATTTCTCAAGGATATGAATTGTATTACACATACTGACACGATAGGCTGACGACAGAGGAAGCTGTTTACTATTAACGGTCGAGTTAGCTACACACACTGAAGTGTAGTTGTAGTATAACACGAAATGATGAAATCAATTTCAGAAAAATGGACCAATCAGAACGCACCTGCTTACTCAGGAGACCTGCTTAACCATATATATACAGCGGGGTTGTCATTCATAACCCTTGTGTCCGAGAAGACGTCTGTGTATTCCCATATCTACCTAAGTTTTAATACAAAATTACACTTGTGGATTTTAACCATATCTCTTCAGCAAAATGCATACCTGTGTGTCGTCGATGTTTCAACTTGTGACGACGCTTTACCTGTCCGTGTTACACCTGTCCTACCTAACCCAGGCCTTACCTCTAGACAGATGCAAGGTAAGTTACAGAACTAGTTTTATAAAAGCTATAGAACATGTGGTATACCCTTAGACTCTTTTTCCTTATTAACGGGTTGTTATAGAAATAACTATATTGGTAGCCCTCGCACTACTGGACTATTTTAATTTGACAGAACATACAGTGCAGTATACTATATTTGAAACGGTGGAACAGATGTCCCCTATCGTTTTAATTTTTTTTTCTATATAAAAAAACTACGGAAAAACAGATTGTCCTGATGCTAATAACTTATCCATTACAAGTAATTGCAGATACAGCCATTCAAAAATGAAATAATTTCAACGTGATTTTAACAATTTTTCGGTATTCGGTATTAAAATTGTACAAATAACGTTATATTTGGTTGGAAAAAACCGTAAGGTAATCTAAACCAATGTCAACAGAACTGACATATTGAAGTAGGCCTACATATCGAGAGGTTAACGATAAAACGCTACGTTGCCGCTGTTTGACATGGCCTGTAATATTACATGCACGTATTAGGAAGTTTTGTCTGTCTTATGAATGGAAATTTACAGGAAATCCTTTAGTGTGACCTTGTAGATACTGTTATAAGTTTGTACAATAGGATGGGACTGGTTACCTCTCGTGTCCAGGTGTGCTGTTTGACATTTAGTATATGATACCGGCGGGAAAACAATTCTCGTTTCGTCACGCAGTCGATTACCCTATATCTGTTTTTTTTTACCTGGAATTGCTTAACATTGTTAGAATGTTGCATAAGTGGTTTTTAACAATGTGTAAAAACATTTCGAAGGTCCGTTTCCGCATGTTACAGATTTGAAGAGCGATAACTATTTTAAATACCAGAGTGCAAAAAGGTAGATTTTTTTTAATCAATTCATATAGCACGCTATCCAACCTGTGACGTAGGTCCCCTATTATGTGAGTGACTGATGTCAATTAATTGATAATCATTCTGCATTTAACTTAGCAAAATAAAGCTGCATGTCATGAAATTAAAAAAATATATATATAATTAACATCCGATCCTCGTGAATTCAAAAATAGAGCAACGCTTGGCTATGCAGGTATGAAATGGTTTTCGCAAAAAAAAAAAAAAAAACCCACACATCACATAATGCTAGCGACCGGCGGGTCTGTATTATGGGATCTCAGCTGTTCGCCATAGGCCTCGTTTACACTCTGCAACTTGTTACGGGCGTAAAATACCATAGAGAGACACGACTAAAAGGAACTGATTTTACAGATGATCAATTAAGTTTTTTACTGCTAAATTGTAAAAACTTAATAAATAAATAAAAATATAAACAAATATAAATAAATAACGATAATAATAATGTGTACATGATTACAATATACATATTATACAGGAAAAATAGTTCTACCAAAACCTCTCTTAAAATGACCGTATTTTTGTGCTAGTACATTTGTCGGAATAATATTACACAGTTATTGAAACTAACTAAACATATTCGCCATAAGTACTGAAATTAATTTATTTTATATAGAGTTTATAATTACCGGCGGGACTAAGTTGAAAATAATTAATTTTGCTGCAAGAAATTTCAATTAGATTGTAATGTATTTTCAATTTGATTGTCCACTTTGCAATAAATTTAAAACTAGGTTTGTTGATTGTATCGGAAATTTGTAAAAAAAAAAAATCTTCTTTCTTTTCAATTTCCATATTAAAACCACATTGCCACATATCTAAGTAACAAAAAGTTGTTAAGTAAGTATGCCTGCTGAATTCAAGATGATAAAATACCTGGAAATTCAGCCGCTAAATACTTTTATCACCTAACTACATATTTAATTACTTTAGTAGCGCGTTAAAATGTTGAATATTTTGACAGCATGTGATACAAAGTGCTTTATAGTAAAATCCGTTTATAAAAATAGACTTAAAAGTGAAACTATTGTTATTTCTTGAGACGCGACGTTTAAAGAATATCATAACCCAGTTGGTCTTTTGGCGATTTGACCAAAGAAATGTACATATGTAGACAAAAGATTAGTGTTTTCTTCTAGTTTTCTGTCATTATTACACAACAAATTCCAGGAATTGGAATGTCGTTATACAAAGAAAGTTGAGAACATTTTTTCTTTTCAAAAAGTGGGAATTTCTGTTAATCGCAGTTTGAAATTAGTTTAAAATAAAGCTCTAATCAATGATGAAATTGCATTTTTTAAAACTTCAGGGTTTAAAAGTCGTCTATATTTAGGCCAGTACATGCAGTCATGTTATGGGGAGACAGAGATCATTAACACGAGAACTTATGATTCGTATTAGTCTCATTTTCATTTATCAGTATAGCGACGGAAAACAAATTTTGTTTACTGCCTTCGTTTAATCTTCTCAACCCCACACATGCGTGGACACTTCATTTCATCTAAATTACTTACATACTTACGAGGTCAAACACGCGATACTTGACGTGTACGTAAACTCCCACGCAATACCTATAACGGACATTTGCGACAGGAGAGGACATTACAAATAACAACACGTGCCTTTGACAAAACGGATGCAAATTAAATATGGACAAGTATACAGTCTTAAGAGACATATTTCACGTGTAGGTCACTAAGAGTGATGTGCTATAACGAGAATATTAGGCTGGGAACGTTATGGTAGGATTCCGCACCTACAGTGTTCTGAAATATTTATGTCGGGCAGCTAAAACGGTCATAAGAGGATTTTAACCGTTTTGGTTATCGTCATCGTGTAGGAGAGTTTGATCGACGCCGTACCACTGTTCCTGTTCTGACAGATAGAATTCACGTTCTATTAACTTATTAAAGCGCAAACTCTTTCCAAGAATACTTGTAGAAGCATTGTGTAACGTGCAAGAACGTATAGTGTTATTATGTCACCAGCGTTGATATGTCTTTCCGAATCGATATAAAATATCACAGAATTAATTTCTAAGTGTTCCGCCTTGCAAACTCCTCATTAATTCGCATACCTAAAAACAATGATAAGATGAGGGAAAATATGGCTCACCTGTAGAATGAGTATAGCTGACGTGAAATCCGTTAGATAAATGAATAAGTAATCACGAAAAGTGCTGACAGTGCAGCAACATTGTCACACTGTCTTCTCTCTAGAGCACCGTCTACATGCATGCAGAGAAATAATATTTCTGGGCAAAAAGGTAAAATTACATTTTTTGATTAGCGACGCTTAGTGTTACCACTGTACTTGGACATTAAAATTAAATTACCCATGTTACCCTGTTGAATATTAGCCGCAATAAATTAGTTCGTCTGGTGTCTGGGATTCGATACCGGGCGGAACCACTGGGACGAAATAATTGTCTTTGCTTATACTGCAGAGCCTAAACCAATGGACGCAGACAAGCGCCTGGCAGGCTTGATTCTGATTGGCTGTACAGACCTCCGGAACTGGTCATAATTAAGAGAAAGTTTCCTCGTTTGTATGTTCAACAGGCTGTATATAATAACCACCCCATAAATTGAGAATTATTATACCCTCCACATCACATGCCGGAATTATAGGGCCACGAATCCCCACCGGCAACATCCCATAACAACACGTGAGAGAATTCACCCAGAAACAGGTCAGCTTCGCGTCAAAATGGATCGTTTACATTAATCATAAATCAGGACACTAATTTGTTTCTAAATCCCCGTTTCGCATGTCTGTGTTGAAATATGTACCTTGCCAGGTGTTACTTGTATTTATGTAATACTACCTGTATGTGAAATGTGGATTAATTTAATTGTTAGTGTCGGATTAGGTAGTGGAAACTTAAGAAGCCATTTAACACAGCGAGTCGTAATACAACACTATAAGCCTGTCAACTTCCTTAAAAAGTCAAGCTCCGACAGACGACAATCGAGAGAAAAAAAACCCAGATTTCCCCTCTTATCATAGACTTTATAAAGTAACATACTGTCACACAAACTTAAACAATGTACCGTTCAAAACGCCACCTTGAAGAATGCCATGGCAAGCTTTAATCGAAGAATTTGGCAAGTTGTTGTCGAATTCAATCATTTTAAACATTCGGTATTGTTGATATAATCCCTTCAGTTTTTTAACAAAAGCATGTATTCAGTATTTTTTCACGCGGGCTTTTAATTTTAGTCGCTTCAAAACATTTTACCTGGTCAGTTAATTAAAAGTAGCACACCTGGCCACTTAATTAAAGGAAACACACAAGGTGTCACCTGTATATATTGATTTAGGTAGTTAAATGGGTAAATGGTAACTGTTGTTTTGTGACTTCTCCAGCTACACGAGAGCACTAATTGACCGTTAGACAAGACCTACCGGAGTCCAGTGGTTCTAAATCCTGTTAGCTTACCTAGCTACAGCACAAACTAAAAGCATACATTGTTCGAAGCGTCTGAACGACATAGAAATCCCTGCTTGTTGTAGTCCTTGCTATTTGAGTCAAACATATTGTTGACGCTTTTATTGTTTTAGTTTAGCATATTTTAAGAAAATAATTCATTTATTCTATATCAAGCTTATCAGGATTTGAATAAAACTGAACACAGAAATGACCACCAGTGACTATCATGTTTATGTTGCCCACACCACTGACCGCGACCAGTCGGATTATATGCTCTTGAGCTTTGTTGTGGTGGCCCAATGTTTTCCATTTTTCTGTCCAGGAGATCTCGATCTCCGAAGTCGACAAAGTGACCAATGCCAATTCTGTTGTGTATAAAAATACCACATATCTCACACAAAACGTTTTTACATTCTCACGTGATATTCTTTTGTCTTGATTTTGACTGACATGATCGGTTCATATAAAATTGTTTTCACAATCAGTCTGTAACAATATTTATTTTGATCGCTGTCGTAAAGAAAACATTTTTTCAGCTAAAAAGCTCCACAATACGTTAAGTCCTACATCGTAGTTTTAATAGTTACAGACTAAAACGTATTCACTTTAATAAAACGTCTTTTATTCAGAGTATAACGGACAAAGGTTATTTGTCTTTTATTTAGATTTTAATGTCAGTTATATCAATGTTTTGCTAAAGGTCTTTGATAACTCAGTGGGTAAAACACAGGAATCCATCACCTCAGTGGAGGTCTAATCCTGGACCTGGAGTGTTCATATTTCTCAGGAAATTGAGATCATGGTCTCCATATGTTGTTTTACTATCTTGGACAATGTGTTTTACCAAATATTTTGCTTTGGATAGCATACAGCAGCTCCCGCATGGTGTTCACTGACATGGTCACCAGCTAATTTAAAGAGACTCCATCTTTAAATGACATTGGCTATTTTAGGGGCAATAGACCAAACCAAAGCAAAGCAACTTGTGGTGACACATGTGGTTTACGGAGTAAATACTGTACTACCTGTGTTTTAACTTGTGGGTTTACGTCAGTAATACCTGTCTTGTACCTAGTATAGGCAAATTACTGGTTATATATTTTATTACTACAATCAGCGATCGACAAATGGGCAGTCACGTGTTTGGGGTCCTCGGGTCCGAGTACACCCAAGGCGCGATTACACGAGATAAGCATGGTACTTAACATTTCCGATCTGTAACAAATAATCTACGCGATTTCCTGTTCGCTGCATGTCTTTGCATAACCGATAATGTAATACATTTTGTGACATTTTTACAGACACTGTATCACTATATAAACCGACTCGCAGTATTACCGATCAGGATCGCTGATATGGTATCAAGCTTGAGTGTGTTAATTTAATACCATTCTGCAAACAAAAATTTCTTAAAGCTAAATGAAAGATAAGTCATATTTTTATTTTAATCTGAAGGCGGCGACGTTGACTTTTGATAAAAACACCCAATATCTTGAGTAAAATTATTGTCATTTTTAACACAGATATTTTTTCTTTACTTGCAGTCAGCCATCTCGATCTTCTCTAGCAGCGGGGCTTACATTGAATCTCTTAACAAAAGTCGCGTGGCACTTCCGGTATTACAGAAAGGATTTACAACGGGGTATGTTGTATCTATTTTATTGAAACGTCCATCCTCCCAATTCTGTTTGGAATTATACATCTTATCATATACAGATATATCAAGTATTTTGATATTTTTGTCACGAAAGAAACATTCTACTTAAACTCCACACCATGTTACAAAGTGCACCGCATTTCTCTGCCAACTAGGACCCATGGTGTTGTTTTTTTTACTAGATTTTTTAATGTCGGTCTTGGTCAAGCCAGAGACAATTCATCTCAACTAACTTTTACTTATCTTGAATTCCAACAGACATGAGATGAAATTCGAATTCAAGACAACGTCACCAAACGGAGTCTTGTTTTACATGACACCCGAGCGTCGCCAGAATGAGCTAGTAGCTTTAGATATCATCAATGGCCACCCCAGGTACCACATCCGGTGTAAACAGATCGAGGCAACTCTAACACTATCTAGGATACGTGTGGACGATGGAAGATGGCACAAGGCGAGTATAATTATATTTGAATTTTAAAATAATGACTCTTTTAATGAAGATTATGGAAAATGACCTATAGCGACCCACCGTAGTACGCTAACATGACTATCCCATCCATTGACGCCATGGAAACACGGCGTAATTGTAATGTTAAGGGATCAGATCTACTGAATATTGACCCTGGCGATATTTTATATTACAGATAGTATTCAGAAGAAGGAACAACCGTGGTAAACTGTTTGTGGACCGTTCTCCTTATTTCCATGACTACCGTGTAGACTGTGGTGCCTTTACGTCCTTGACCTTTGGAGGCGTTGACCCGAACCGGAAGTACAGCAACCTACACAGAGAGGTAAGGCAATGCACCGTTAAAACCTATCTGAGAAATAGGCCTTTAAAATCTGTTCAGTTCCTCAACACGTTCAATAGAATAAATTTACGGTAAGTAGATGAAGTGCTAGCATTCGGTCTCCAACCAAGCGCGAGTTTTAATAAGTAAAACCCGGAACTATTTTCTACACTGATGAACAAGAGGAGAAGTCAACGATATATGTAAACATGGGAGGGATGAGAGACATGAGGGACTGTCAACAAACATATTTGAGTAAAGAAAAATACGATGTGTAAGATGGACAACAAAACTTACGATGTTTTTGACGATTTGTCCATTTGTCTTTCCAGCTGAACACAAAGCATGGTCACTTCCTGGGCTGTATTCGGCGCGTAGACGTGTCAACTGGTGTAGAAGAGAGTCGAGCGCAGTACCAAGGCGTCTCGGAATGTTCTTGATTACGACACACAATGACTGCATTTGCATTCTGTGATAATGACGTCATATCTTCTATTTCGGAGATGACGTCATCACATTTAAACGAGGAAAATACTCTCTTCTCATGGCCATTACGTCAAGCATATCAACATCTTAGTTCTCGTGTACGGGAGAAATGTGTTCAAAGAAGAGTTTCGAAACCTCAGGATTGTCTGTTCTCGGGAATGCAGACACGAATTATCCGCCCTTTGTTTTAAAAGGTCGTCGATGAAGATTGAATTAGAACAGTATTATTGCTAAAGAAGGCGAGACCCCTGTCTTGAAATGCGAATATCATCGTCACATACTGTTTGTATAATATCTTATCTAAATGTTCGTTGTTGTTTGAATGGATTCTTATTTTAACTTATTTAATAAGTTGCACAATGAATTATTCTCTTAACAAGCGGATTGGAAACAAATAACACTATCCATTGTGTTAGCCAAGGTTATAGGTCATGGGCAATAAGTTGAAGGTCATAGTGAATAGTGACTGTCTATCTCCTTGAAAACAAGATTATCGTGAACGAAACTTAGTGCTATTTTCAGAAAGGAGAAAAACTGTTTTAATGTTTTCTTCTCTTTTTAAGTTTTTTGTGCATTTATGAGTTGTTACATATTGTTTATTGTACATAAAGGTGTTGTTGACTTTACACTGTATTAAATCTATTTGATTACTTTGAGAATCTTGAATGTGTCTTCCCTTTATTATGTATAATATTTATGGATTTGTAGAACACAATATTATATAATTATACAACACACTTCTCTAGATTGTACGACAGTCACTGCTATAGATTGTACGACAGACACTGCTATAGATTGTACGACAGACACTGTTTAGATTGTACGACAGACACTACTATAGATTGTACGACAGACACTGTTATAGATTGTACGACAGACACTGCTATAGATTGTACGACAGACACTGCTATATATTGTACGACAGACACTACTATAGATTGTACGACAGACACTGCTATATATTGTACGACAGTCACTGGGATGGATTGTATTACAAACACTGGGATAGATTGTACGACAGACACTGCTATAGATTGTACGACAGACACTGCTATAGATTGTACGACAGACACTACTATAGATTGTACGACAGACACTGCTATAGATTGTACGACAGACACTACTATAGATTGTACGACAGACATTGCTATAGATTGCACGACAGACACTGTTATAGATTGTACGACAGACACTACTATATATTGTACGACAGACACTGCTATAGATTGTACGACAGACACTACTATATATTGTACGACAGACACTATAGATTGTACGACAGACACTGCTATAGATTGTACGACAGACACTGCTATAGATTGTACGACAGACACTACTATAGATTGTACGACAAATACTACTAAAAATATGTACGACAGTCACTGCTATAGATTGTACGACAGACACTGCTATAGATTGTACGACAGACACTGCTATAGATTGTACGACAGACACTGCTATAGATTGTACTACAAACACTGCTATAGATTGTATGACAGACACTGCTATAGATTGTACAACAGTCACTGCTATAGATTGTACGACAGTCACTACTATAGATAGTACGACAGACACTGCTATAGATTGTACGACAGACACTGCTATAGATTGTACGACAGACACTACTATAGATTGTACGACAGACACTGCTATAGATTGTACGACAGACACTGCTATAGATTGTACGACAGACACTACTATAGATTGTACGACAGACACTACTATAGATTGTACGACAGACACTACTATAGATTGTACGACAGACACTGCTATAGATTGTACGACAGACACTACTATAGATTGTACGACAGACACTACTATAGATTGTACGACAGACACTACTATAGATTGTACGACAAATACTACTATAGATTGTACGACAAATACTACTATTAATATGTACGACAGTCACTGCTATAGATTGTACGACAGTCACTACTATAGATTGTACGACAAATACTACTAAAAATATGTACGACAGTCACTGCTATAGATTGTACGACAGACACTGCTATAGATTGTACGACAGACACTGCTATAGATTGTACGACAGACACTGCTATAGATTGTACGACAGACACTGCTATAGATTGTACGACAGACACTGCTATAGATTGTACGACAGACACTGCTATAGATTGTACGACAGACACTGCTATAGATTGTACGACAGACACTGCTATAGATTGTACGACAGACACTGCTATAGATTGTACGACAGACACTGCTATAGACTGTACGACACACACTACTATAGATTGTACGACAGACACTGCTATAGATTTGTACGACAGACACTGCTATAGATTGTACGACAGACACTGCTATAGATTGTACGACAGACACTGCTATAGATTGTACGACAGACTATAGATTGTACGACAGACATGTGCTGTTATAGATTGTAGACAGACTACTATAGATTGTACGACAGACGCTGTTATAGATTGTACGATAGACACTACTATAGATCGTACGACAAATACTACTAAAAATATGTACGACAGTCACTGCTATAGATTGTACGACAGTCACTGCTATAGATTGTACGACAGATGTTGCTTTAAATTTGTCCGACAGACACCGCTATAAATTTGAACGGAAGTCATTACCATATAATTTTGAGGTAGAAAATACTACAGATTTCTATGAAAGACAACATTATAGCTTGAGACACTGGGACAGATAAAAAACAAAATGGCCGATAAACGGTCAATCAAAAAGAAGGCTGTTGGGATCAGTTAAATGGCTATCAGAGAGCGAAAAAACAAATATAAAATATTCTTAACATCTAGGAGAAAGTTAATTAAATGTAATAAAGAAACAAATAGACCGTGACTGCATTGTAACTCGTTGTGAGGTAAGAGAGACAACTCTTTTATTTACTGCTCTGCTGACGCACGCTATGGTTACGTCATAAAAAATACGTCTTTACTGTGTTGTCGGAATGTCAGCTTTACTTATTTACTGAAATCAATTTCGTCCTTAACTAAAACAAAATGATAGTCTACAGCCACGGACAAAACTTTTCCCCCTAGAAAAGATATCGGATTTACTATTTATAGTAGACATTGCCGTATCACACTCGCATGAGGGTTTTTAGATAAAACAAGAAAAAAAATATGATAACACGATGTCCATAAATGCAATCTTTTTAATGGAGCTCGGATTATTTCTAAAACCTCAAACGACCGTATCTATGCACGCTTATCAAACAGCGATCGCTTATTAAAGGGCGATTTTATGGAAAAAAAATATATGATAAATAGACTCTTAAATTCGCTCCAATTCGATTTGTGAAATTCACGACCTCATCATGCTTCGCGTGAGGTCTGGTAACATGAAATGTACTAAGGCTCGTTTTAAAATCACGCGTGAAATGGACACTTGTGAAAAGTAATGGATATTTAAGAATCGTCATTATTTCCGATGAGAGTTAAGCTGTCAATATCCTATATCCTAAAAGTAAGTCTGGGCCGTCGGGGTTAACACTCTTAGCGTTTTCTAAGATTAAGGTCAGGGAATGGAGATGGGGTTGGGGTGAGTGACGTTCTACCTGTAGGTACAGGTAATTTAAATTAGTATATTAGTAGGTTAAGTTTTCATTTAAATTAGAAATCTACAACTTAAAGTTATCTGCTCTATCATATTTCTGTTTATTTTCCATCATTATAGATTTTTAAAAAAAATCTAATACTCCCGAATACACTTGCAAATCACTAAAATTTGTTTAATTACGGGAAAGTATTAAACGGTAGACATCGTGTCATGTTTTATCAGCTGTCCTGTAGGGAGCTTGTTTTGTTTGTAACTAGGTCCACGTACACGATTTACGATTAAGGTCATAATCGAGGTCACCATCAGTATACATATTAGTGTGATATCAAAATGAGTTCATAAATTCTTTATCGTGCCAATCTGTCACGTTGTATCTCTCAATTTTCAGACTTCAGAGTATTACATAAAACAACTCACATCCTGTATATCACATTACCATAAAAAGGTCAAACGTGCGAGTTTTCAATTTACGTTTTCATTTGATCGAGATAAAATCAGGACCATGAATGATATAAGTTACTGACATTTCTTCATGTACTACTCTACCTGGTAATATCATGCATTTTTCTGTGATGTCACACATGACAATGGCGGTCTCTGATGTAGTCGGTATACCTTTTAAGCAAATCTGTCGGCCCTTTATAATTTTTTGTTTAACATTTTTTTAATTATAAACCTAGTTCGTCTTACTTCTAGCAAACGTCTAGGGCGGTCTAGGTTAATCCGTTTGATATTTCAAAAAACAAACTAGACTTAAGATAAACCACATTTTTGGAACGGAAAGGCCAACGCGCATGAAGGTAACAGATATGACTCAATCCACTGAGGACTCAGAACACTGGGGAAACAATCAGGGCTCAAAACACTGAGGAAACAGAATGGGCTCAAAACACTGAGGAAACAGAGAGGGCTGAAAACACTGGGAAACAGAATGGGCTGAAAACACCGGGGAAACAGAGAGGGCTCAAAACACTGAGGAAACAGAGAGGGCTCAAAACACTGAGGAAACAGAGAGGGCTCAAAACACTGAGGAAACAGAGAGGGCTCAAAACTCTGAGGAAACAGAGAGGGCTGAAAACACCGGGGAAACAGAGAGGGCTCAAAACACTGAGGAAACAGAGAGGGCTCAAAACACTGGGGAAACAGAGAGGGCTCAAAACACTGAGGAAACAGACAGGACTCAAAACACTGGGGAAACAGAGAGGGCTCAAAACACTGAGGAAACAGAGAGGGCTCAAAACACTGAGGAAACAGAGAGGACTCAAAACACTGAGGAAACAGAGAGGGCTCAAAACACTGAGGAAACAGAGAGGGCTCAAAACACTGAGGAAACAGAAAGGGCTCAAAACACTGGGGAAACAGAGAGGGCTCAAAACACTGAGGAAACAATCAGGGC